CGGCTCCTGGATCTCCGAGCCCCTCCAAAAATCTTGGGCATGATCACTCGTTTCAAATTAGACTGTGCCTTATTAATTGCCATGAAAGTCTTCACGAACGTGTCTAGGTCCCCAACAAACGAATCCCCAAACAGCATACCCTTTACAGCAGTGCCAGGCTCGTTAACGACCATATTTAGTGCCAATCTTCAGTAAGATGGCCTTGCGGAGTTCTGCCGCCATAGCTGTGTTTGCATTACCCAACAGACAAATCAGGCGCTGCACCCACCCGATAGCTACGTCAAAGTCCATGTCAATTTCCCCTGCCTTGGTGGCCTCTAAAAGTTCATAGAGCTTGGGCACTGCATCAGTGACCTCCAGGATCTTGTCCAGACAATTTTTTTAGTGAGCACTGTTTTTCCTTAAAATTTGGAAATCTGTGGGTCCACTTCCGGGGTCTTACAAGCCGCATCGGGCATGATGGGGCAGGGGCATTGAGCTCTAAGTTTGTTTTGCCCCTCCTTAGATAGCAGTGTGCACATGCACAGTGCCAAATAGCTGGCAATGTGACTGGGTGGCTCCCACTTCGCGGAATGCGGGTTGTGCAAGTCGTCCGGATAGAACAGGGGGTGGCCCTGTGGGTCCTGGAGACCCACCCCCGCATCCCTCGGAGCATCCACCAAGCCAAGTGCCGTGGAGGTCAGAGCCTCCTGGGCTCCAAGGTCAAACGGCTCCTCCGCCTCGGACCCCGCCTCATTATAGTAGGCGTGGTCAGGGGCGTTGGAAACCTCCTCCTCACTCCGGTCGGAGTCCAACCAATCTTCTAGGGCACATGCCGCTTCCATGATCTGTTCCGCTTTTGCCCAGCCAGTGGCTCTTTTGCACGGAGGTAATGCACCATCTGTGATTGCCGAGGGTGAATCCATCTGATTAGGCATAGCCTGATCATTGGAGTGGTAGCTGAGATGTTTACTCTTAGCCTTCACCTTGCGGGCCATAACACCTGCAGTGGCGGCTTGAGTTAGTAGTGGAGGGGACAGGGTGGGCACCGTGGGCCTGACACAGGGACTGCACCAGTGTTTAGGAAAAAGACGAGGACATAGCCCCCATGGCCGAGGCCAGCGCTTTTTTGATGGAAGTGGCAATAGTCGTGTCCAGGATAGCCTGTATTCATCATAGGCCATTAGGCCTGAGTCATCAGCTGCAGGGGACTGTAAGGGGTCAATACTGGGCATACCAGTCACTTCTACATTGTCACTTTGCATTGTGACACTAGGTGCAGAAACCCCAATTCTGCATTACACACTAGGAGTAAAGAAAACCCAGAGCACTAATGAGTTGTAAGGGAAAATAAGCAGGATTGATTAACCCTGACTCACAGTTATTATCAATAAGTCCCGGTGTATGCCCTGCCAGAGAAGCCTGGAACTAGGGATGTGCATGGGCAAAAAATTTGGTTTGGTTCGGAAATTCGGGTAAGTAAAAAAATTTGTCTGCTTCGGCAATTCAGACCAATTGCATTCTATTTGGTTCGGCACTTCGGAACTGCCGGACATCGTCACTTCGGAACTTCAGCACTTCAGACATTCGTAAGCATCCGAATATCCGAATGGCATAAAATTTGTACGAATGTATGAATGTCCAAAGAACTTTCACACGCTGTGTAAAATTACACAGAGCACTCTGTTTGGTTAGCTTGAAATCCAGCCAATCAGAGTGCTCTATGTTATTTTGCACAGCATGGGAAAGTTCTTTTGAATTTTCCCACGCTGTGTAATTTGACTCATAACTCTCTGATTGGTCACTTTCAATCCACCAATCATAGTGTTGCTATGAGTCAAATTACACAGCGTGGGAAAATTCCAAAGAACTTCCCCACGCTGTAAATGACACAGAGCACTCTGATTGGTGGATTTCAAGCTAACCAATCATAGTGCTGTGACAGGTAAATGTAGAGACTTACCTGTCAGTCTCTTAATTTACCTGTCAGAGCATTCTCATTGGATGGCTTAAACCCCCAATCAGAGTGCTCTGACAGGTAAATGAAGAGACTGACAGGAAAGTCTCTACATTTACACCAATCAGAGTGCTCTGAGCCTAATTGCAGTCTGCACGGAGCCCTCCATGGGTGAAGATAGATTATTTTTTTTTGCGCTCTTTTTTTTTGGATGGTTATCATGGATTTTTATTTGCCCTTTTTTCGGGCTGAAAAAAGAAGATTTTAGAAGAAAGAAGACATCAAATGGTATTTTTTTTTTTTTTACAGGTATCTAGCTTATGGTCCCCCCCCTCATTATTTTTAGGATGAGGGGGGTAGGCAGGGGTTATTTTTTGGGGGGAGGGGGGTTACGGGGGGGTTACATTTTTATTTAGGGCCCCACCCACTGCCCAGGGGTGGGGGCCAGAGGGAAGGACAATAGGTCCCCCACACTTATTCTAAATTTAGGGCCCCACCCACTGTCAGGGGTGTGGGCCGGGGGGGAGGACAATAGGTCCCCCCCTTATTCTAAATCTGGGGGCCCCCACCTGCCGCTCAGGGGTGGGGGCCGGGGAGAGAGGACAGTAGGTTCCCCCCCTTCATTGTTATTTAGGGCCCCAACCGCCGCGCAGGGGTGGGGCTGAGGGGAGGACAGTAGGTCCCCCCTCATTCTTATTCAGGTCCCCCACCTACCGCTCAGGGGTGGGTACCGGGTGGGAGGACAGTAGGTCCCCCCCTCATTGTTATGTAGGGCCCCCACCCGCCACGCAGGGGTGGGGGCCGGGGGGAGGACAGTAGGTCCCCCCATTGGTATTTAGGGCCCCCACCCGCCGCTCAGGGGTAGGGGCTGGGGGGAGGACAATAGGTCCCCCCCTTATTTTACTTTAGGGCCCCCACACGCCATTCAGGGGTGGGGGCCAATAGGTTTTTATTTTATTTTTACAGTGAGCAGCCACTGGTCAAACGCTTGTTGATTGGCTGCCCTGCAGCCTTTCAAAGCGCGCCATTAAATTGCCGAACATGGAACTCCAACCCGAACATACAGTGAAATGTCCATGTTCGGGTCCGGAGTCCAAAAACCGTAATGTTCGGTACGAACTCAACTCTACTCTTCACACATAAAATGTTTTTGGTGTTTAAAGTACGCATTTAAGGGAGATTTAAGGAAGCATTAGGACAATTTAGGATTAGAGTGGATAGAGTTTTAGGCGCAATTCCCTTAATTCATATAAAGGGAATCAGAGCAACTGAATTAAGTTTTCATTTGCTATTCACTTGCAAATCAGCTCTTTGAAGCTGAATAAGCAGGCCTAAACGCATTATTGTTTTTATATATTAGATTGAGTTTATTTATTTGAAATAAAATGCTCCAGAAGGAATACACAATCCCGTATTGAAGCTGATTTAAGTTTCTTTTAAAGACCTCCTTATGGTGGGGATTTAAACAGGATTAGAGCTGGTCAGGTAGATCCATGCTCATCGATCAGGAACCAAGTACAAGCGATATACCATTTTACACACCACTGCTAAATGGGAAACACGTGAGGTCAACTTTTTATATTTGCAAAACATTTGCAGGAGGGAACATTTGTCCCAGGTCTTATTGCCATTCCCTAATATCTCCGGGGCTCAGTGAGGTTGCTCCCTGTTAACAATTGTGTAACTTAATGAAAACTGTTTGCTTACCTGTGATTTGTTTAAGACAAGATTGTTCAAAAGGGGAAAGGTGTTGTTCCAACTGGTGCCCGAATTAACCAATCTTTGTGTTAGCTAGGTAAGATTTGAACTGTAAATATGAGAAAACAGTAATAGATTGCAATTGATTCTGCTCTTTCAAATCTGTATAGGTTCTTGAAGAACCTGTAATTGGCAAACGTGTGCAATGCCTTTTTGGTCTGTAGGGTTGTTGTCAAATTTTGGTACTTTTAAGTTAATAGTGAATAAGTGAATCGTCAAGGGAACTGGGTAACAACCACACAAAACAGGCTTAATTTGGTTTCAAACTTTTAAGGTGAGACCTGCATGATATATACTTTTCATCCCAAGAGTTGTTTCAAAATAAGCTAAACAGATCTAATAAATATTTACTGATTATAATTTCTAGAAATGTTAAAAGGACACTGTAGGCACCAAGACTACTTCAGCTCATTAAAGTGGTCTGGGTGCAGTTTCCCAGGCCCCTTAACCTTGCAATTGTAATGATTGCAATTTTTACTTTGCAATAATTACTTTGCAGGGTTAACGCTGCCTCTAGTGGTTGTCTACCAGACAGCCACTAGAGGGACTTCGGGGTGATTAGGCGACTTTTGGTCACCTACCTGATGCTGGACGTTCTCACGCTCTGCATGATACAACCAGCATCACCCAAGACCCCATAGGAATGCATTATACTTTCCTATGGGAGAAGTCCTAATGCGATTGCCGCGCACGCAACGCATGCGCATTAGGTCCCCCCTGCCAACTGACGTCGGTGGAGGAACGAACGTGGAGCCTTACCCAGTTCATCAGCCCTGGAATTAGATACGTGACACAATGAGGAGGGGTGCAATGGAGGGAAGCACTATAGGTTCCCTCCAATCAAAAGTAAAGGATTCCTTAAGCCTTTGCATCATTCCTCTTCCCCCCAATGCTCTAGGCTTGAGTTTAGCTTGTAATAAGAATCTTGCAGTTTTTTTTTTTTAGATTTGCAGGATTATTTTTTAGATTTGCAGGGAAATAAGTGATTGAGTAAGTATACGTAAGACATTGTCTGCAAATAAATTACATTTGTACTATTTGTCCCCTATTTTAACACACTGTATGTATGTGTTTGCTCTTATTGCTGCTGCCAAAGGTTCTAGGGTCAATACATTTAGTAATTGGGAGACGTGCACCTCTGTCTAGTTCCATTAGAAATTTCAAAGGTATCCAAGACAAAACCTGAATTTACCACTCGGGCTAATGGTTGCTTACATAAGGCTCTTATTGTATGCAGGAAAATTTGAATTCAAATTCACGCAAGACCCCCTCCAGGAAGCCTCAATATAGGCGGTAAAAAGCCTTTTCATCATCCAGTACAACCACACTTTGCCCCATATGGGTAGTTATGAATGTTATTTTCTGTTGTGCTTGTCTATGTCACGAACACACAGAACTATGTAACATACAAAAAACACAGAAATAAGAATGAAGACAACGTATACTGGACTTTAGAATGGCCAGATTTAACTTAAAAGAAAATAGTCAAAATACAAGCTGAGACAAAACAATAAAACTAGCCAAAGGTCAGGGATACCATAAAACAGGGAAGATCAAAAATACAAGCCAAAGTCATATATCAAACAGAGCAAGAACGCACCCTCAGATAGGATACTCAATCAGTGGTTGGTCTTGGATTGCTCCCCGATTTCCTCTTAGATCTATTTGTCCTTCTCTCGGTTGTCTCTTGGTAGACTCATTGGACACATTTTATTATAAATACTGCTAGGTAGTGTCCAGCGTCACCGTGTTATGTCTGAACCCTTGTACATGTAAACCAAATTGCCTGACATTGAGAGCACCACCTCACTGATGAGGACAGACAAGGGAAAATGGATTGGGGCTCAGTGTGAATGGGGGGAAGCCACTCACAAGGAGAAAAATCAAATGACAATGAAAAAGAGAATAAAAATGAAAACATATGTAAACATACAAACATAAACATAGGTCCACGGGGGGTGGCTTTAACCATACCAGTCTATGCAGGGAAATCCTGTTTTAGTTACACTGCCCTTATAGTAGCTTTATATTACAGAACTCAAAAACAAACATTTATGAACACATGTCCCAGGACCAGTGTGACCTTCATGTATCCTCATGTCTAAACTATAGTAATTGCTTATTTCGCTGTGGCATGCATGTGATTATTAATTTTTTTTCCTCATTACAAACATATATTCAACTGGAACTCCACATGTAGCATGTCAGTTGCACCCTCACTCAATCAAAATGTCTGTGAATAAATGGATATTCCAGAATTCTGCCCTTAGATCCCTATCTGAT